TTAGAAGAGGGTAAGAGTAGTCTTATCAGAAGGTAATTGGTCAGTGGTAACACAGTATATTAACAAACCCAAGACCTATTTCCTACTATTTCCCACAGAGTTAAAGCATATTTATATATGTATATGATTTTTCATGGCCAATAATGATGAATAGCCTAGAAGAAGGATCATTAATCTTTATCTTTGAAATATAGTAAATATTTCAGGCCTGTGGATCATAGGTCCTATCTTCAAGGATTCAAAAATCAAACAACCTTAAATCCTCTAACTGGTGAAAAGAATTTACATAAATATTAAATAGTCACTGACCAAATAACTTTTGATATCCAGTCAACAGGATGTCATGATTCTGGTCCAGGCTGGGGTGGGGCCACAACTGGGGTAGAAAATACCTGGCTTGGAGGGAAACTCCCTGGTTGGTCCTTTCCAGTAAGCCTCAGGTGATGTTGCTGTTGCAGCTACCCCACCCTCACCCCATGAGGTCTTCTCATCCTTGCAGCATTGCTAACAGCACTCTGTAGATTACTATGCTTCTTAAAATTCTTACTTATATTCCAGCTGAGGATATTTTTATCCTTTGAAGACAGACTTCTCCGTTAGCTGAGAAAGTTTAATTTTGTAGCACTTTTAGCTTCTTTGGAGACCACAGGATAACCTAGCCTCTTTGGTTTACTCCTGGGCCAAAGGGTGTTTCAAATGACATGATCTGAGGGGCCTGACTGAGTTGTGAAATCAGCTTGACCCATTTCTTGTGAGTTGCCAGGACCTTTTTGAAGATAGGACATTCTTTGTCTTGCTATGGTATTTTTGTTTATTCAAAAAGCACTTTTAAACAATTCCTCTGTCCTTTCTGGGAAAAAAGTAGTGCTCTTATTTGATATCAATGAATTTCTTGGGTATAGCTCAAATGTCTTAATATTCTTTGTTAATCAATGTTTAGGAATACATATATATCATGCATATTTATGTCAGTAGAGAAAACTTTCTGAACTGTAATAATTTGCATTCATTTTAGAATTAGGAAACAATACTTTAAATGTTAATTTCATATATGTTCCATGGAGAAATATTGAAATGCAGTGTCTTTTAGTGCTTTTTGTTTAAAAATTTGTAGTTTCATTTCATAAATGACATCTAGTCATTAAGGCGAAGAATAAGGATAAAAATTTGTAAGCATAGGACTAATGTTACTTTCTAATGGTAAAGAAGTTAAATTTAGGACTAGCTTTTTATCAGTATGTTATTTTATGCAATAATAATCAATACAAATTATCTGTATCTACAGATATAGATACAGATGGATAGATAGATACTAGAAATGATGACAAGACATATAATTGTACTGTAATTTGTTCCTAACCACAGACTACTTAGACAAGCAAGTGTGTAAGTTTGTTTGTTTTTTCAAGTACCAGCTGAGTATTGTACAGTCAGCTCAATTCTGACACTGTGTGGAGTTTGTATCATATCCCACAAGTTAAGGGCTCAGTTCCACAAAATACAAGTCCCAATTCCTGGGCCTCCATACTTTTAAACAAACAGCTTTAAATCAAGGTGCCCATGACCCTATCCTTGAATTTAATAATTTGCTAGGATGGTTCACATGACTCAGGAAAACAGCTTACTTACAGTTATTGGTTTGTTACTGTGTTATTTTTTTGTCACTGTTGACAAAATACCTGAGATCAGCGACTTAGAGGAGAAGGATGGCTCAGATTTTCAGAGCTTTCAGTCCATGGCCTGTTGGCTTCACTGGTTCTAGGTTTCTGGTAAGGCAGAACATACTGCTGCAGGAGCATATGGTAGCAGAGGCTGCTCACCGCCTGGCAGTCAGGAAGCCCAGTAGAGAGAGAAAGCCAAGAGGAAGGGAATGGAAAGCAGGTATAGTCTCCAAGGTTACACCTCTGTGATTCATTCCCTTCAAGTCCCCACCTCCTGATTGCCAGAGTTTTCTGGCACAATAGAGAATCAGAAGAAAAGGGAAAGTGGCCTTTTATTGAGGGTGTGGAGAGGAGCCTACAACCCGCAGGATTTTGGCTTTTTCCTCTGACTGAATAGGGGCAGAGGAATATATGTGACCTTTGACCAGAAGTGGCATTCAGGGTGGGCAGTTATGATACATGAGGAACTGATTGGAATTTTATTTGTATACACAGGGAAAGGAAGGAGGAAGTTGTAATCAGGGTTGAAGGAGAAAGGAAGAGGAAGTGGTCCTTAGAGTGTTGTCTTAGGTTGGCTTTCTGCCATGGTAGACCACCATAATGTCCTATAATTTATTCTAGAACAGAACTCTTTCACTGATCCATTCTTTCCAATAAAACCGTTAATGATGTCCAGAAGGCAGAACCCTCATGATCTGGTGGACATCCAAAAGTGCTACCTCTGAACACATGAGAGTTTGGCAAGACTTTTAGATGAAAAGCCTAACAGTTATAAAGGATACAACTCAGGAACAGCCAAATGGAAGGAGATACATAAGGCAAGACAGGAAGCATTTAGTGTTCTGCTCTCCCAGTACCTCTGTGAACTCACCAACTTAGGACTCCAAACCTCGATTTTAGGAACTTTATGGAGGTTACATTATGCATGTATAATTAAGTCACTGGCCATTGATGATTAATTTGATCTACAGCCCTTCTTCCCTCTTCCAGAGGTCAGGGAAGGATCTGAAACTTAAACTGTCTTATACTTTGAAACTAGTGTCGGGGAAGCCATTGTGTCACCTGCACCAGCCCCCATCCTCAAAATGTCTTAGGGCGCCAGCCACCAGTCATCGCATTGCATACAAAAGGTACTGTTATTGCTCTAAGGATTCCAAGGATCTTAAGATTCTTGCCCTCAGGATCTGGGGACTAAGACCAAATATTGTAACACAAGATTCTGTCATCCATCACTTAGGGAATTACAAGGGCTTTAGGAATACATAAATAAGATCTAAAATATGTTTTTAAACAAGCATGAAACATATGCTGAAATACACTAGTAGGTTTGTGACACATTGGTGGACATCCTTTGTTCTTCTTTCACTTCTCTGGCTTCTTTATTAACATGTTTGTGTAGAGGAATAAATAATACTTTTTACTCATTTTAGGTTCATGGCTGATGCCTCTATAACCAAAGACAGACTGATAAAAATAATTCAAATTCATTTAATAGCTTTAGTGGGATGTAGAAGCCTTCATAGAGAAATAACCCAAAGAACTTGTTAAACCTGTGTGCTTTTATGTTGGAGCACTATGATAGGACAAAGGGGAATGATCTAATTATGATAAACTGAGGTAAATTTAGCAAGGCATGTTTGTTCAGTGCTTTTCCTCATACCCCCCTTCTTCAGAAAAACTGATGTTCTCCTCTAGGGAGAGGAAGGACGTCTCTCTGTTAAGGTCTTCTGACTTGTTTCAGGGAAAGGTCAGAAAATCCTCCAAGAGTTCTGTGGCCTGGTTCAGGGCTTGAACGGCAGGGAAAGATGAAAATGGCCTTCCAGATTCTGCACTTCTCAGATTCCTTTAGCTTCAAGTATTCACTAGGCCAGGGTGCCATAATTTTTGATAGTGTATCCTGATACATGATTTGCACTTCCTGTCAACCCCTGTTGTAGTATTCAAGAGAGGTGGTACTATGTCTTATCATTGCCTGCATAGTATGTGTCTCAGCATCTGCCCAGTGTAGGTAAAGATTATTGATTGGGTGGTGTTAGATGATAGGCCTATAGGTGGCCTAATATTTAGGATTTGTTTTTCATGATGGGTTGGTAATTAAGTACTATAATCAAAAAAGAAGACAAAATTTAAAAGTTTTTCTTGTTGATAATTTTCTTTAGCAATCATCCCCATTCTCTAAGATCAGTGACAAGCATAAATCTGAATCTAAATTAAAGAAGTAGAAAAACTTTTTAACAGAGAAAATTTTGTTCACTCTCTTGACTTCATTCCCTTTTACTAAATTTGGGTTGTTGTATTCTGCCTCATAAAAGTAGAGTCTGTGTAATTTATATGCACAAATAGAAGTATGTATTTATATGCACAAATAGAAATAATGTGCATTTACCAAGCCCTGTGGTTTGCATTAGCATGAGTTTGTATTGTGGTTGTGCTGAGGATAGTGCTGGTTGGCTGAAGCACACATGGAATATTGCTTTTAAAAGGAAGTATTGTAATGAGAGCTGGGGTTTTCCATTTTTGCTTGCCCATTCTCCTAAAAATATAACATTATTATGCCTTATTGGTACAACTGAAATCTTATCAAGTTAAACATTACATGTGCATATTAATAAGCATTCTTTAACTGTGCCATATATGTTTTTAAATTTTCTAACAGCAACAAATGACAAACATAGGATAGTTTCCTTCTGGCTTATAAGGAAAGGATATATTGTCTTCATTCAAGTATTTGGAAATTAAAATCTGTCACATTTTTCTAATGACACAAGAAAAGGAATAGAATTACTGAAAATCTGGCTATAGGCTAATTTTCCACACTGCATATCATTGGACTTAAAATTATGTAGGTCTAGAAGTATGTTTATGTTTATCATCAAAATATGCAAGATAATTGAAAGTGATTAGAAACAATAACTCCACAAAGTACAGCATTTTCATTTAAATAAACAATTGTGATAGGATAAGGGTGCAGGGGAAGAAACTTTGGTAGACCTTTTCAGGTTATTAGGGGAGACTAGAAGCCTGCTTCAGAAGGAAAATGAGATGTGTGCCTGCAGATTGAAACCACCATGCGACTGTGTCAATCTTCCAGAGTGATGCCTCCAGACAAGACAGCCAGCTCAGACTTGGCTTTCTGCTCCATTAGTCTGGTTAATGAACACTGCTAAGGAGCCCTGTGGGTGGCGTCCAGGAGTGGAGTCAGGTTTAAGGGGAGGATGCCAGGGACTTCAGGTCACAGTCATGTGACTCGGCTGCTGACCAACACTGAGACTCCAGATCAAATTTCAACTCTAGGTGGTGTGCTCAGCCACAAGGGCTCAGCAGGAAGACCAGCAGAGCCACGTCCTAAAGGTGTTTGGGGCCAGTCTTCCCCTATTGCAGGGTCCTTGGAAGAGGCAGATGATCCTGGAGCCAAGCCATACCCTCGGGGCAGAATTGTAGGGTCTCGCCTTCCTGTTACTTAGACACTTCGTGCGAGGATGGGGACAGGCGTGCTGGGCATTTGCGTGAGTACAGGCTGTCAGCTTTTTGCTTGGTATCCAGGGCCAGCGGCAGAAGTGACGCCAGAACTTTACTGCACCCTTCTGGGAGAAGGGGAATCAACCTTCCTTAAATTCAATCTGTTCAGATGGATGTTAAACAATAGTTGGGGTGATATCTAGCCTTTTTGTCTTCTTTCCAAAAGTGGAGAAGAGATTCTTGAGTTAATACTCAGTTAAGTCAACTTGACTGATAGCACATTGTCCAGTGTCCTAAGGTGTTATGGTGTTTAAAGAGTTAAATCTGAATGAATATTGAAGCTTAGTTGTTGAACAACTCATCTGGCTACCTTGGGAAAGAATTAGAGTAATCATCAATGAATTGCCACAGATAATACTCATGAGAGTTTTGTATTTCATGTTACTGTTTTCCTTTCCTAATTCAGGGATTCTCTTCAGAATAGTTGCTGAAACTGATGGTGGTTGATAAGCGTTGGTAAATCTTTATTCAACTATAGAAACTTCTGGTTGCAATATCAATAAATAATGATGTTACCTAATTTCTCATCTATGGAAAAAGTATATTTCTCAGACTAAATTTCATAAATTTCTAAATAGTTCTGCTGGTACTTATACAAAACTGTGTTAATCAAATACTGTCACTGTAATTTACAGAATACTGTACTGTAGTTTAAATTTTAATATATAAATAATATACATGTGTAAATCATATTTATAATTCAAGTCAGTATTTATTCCAAGAGGGCATTTTATTTGTTCTTAAAAGTCCTGAGTAAGAAATACTGTATTTTTGTTTAAATCATCTTGCCTTGCCCTTTCACTCAAAAAATACATAGTCAAGTCAGGTCTGTCTGTCTGTCTCTCTCTCTCTCTCTCTCTCTCTCTCTCTCTCTCTGGTAAATTTCAGAAAGAGCTATCATTTGTTGTAAATTATGATGGCCTTCTGAGCAAGTTTTGGAATATAGACTTAAAATGGTCACTAGATGGTAGACAGTACCACAGATTATTTCATAGTAAATCTGCTGAAGGGCTGGCTCAGTCAGCCCCTTTCAGCATCCTCTGCTAGTTGGCCTGCCTTCTCCTTTAGCCCCTAGGCTTATAACATCCAGGTATCCAGGTGATTATTTTTTTTAAAGAAAATTGTTTTATTGGTACATTTTAGATTTACATAATGATCACATTCATCAAAGGGCATTTGAACCTGTACATGCTATAGCTTAATTCTATTTTTTCCCCATTTACTTCCTCTCCCTTCAACTCTTCTTCCTTTCCTTATTTACAAAAGTTTTTCCTTATTTTTTTTACTTTTTCCTTCCTTCCTTCCTTCCTTCCTTCCTTCCTGTCCCTCTCGCTCCTTCCTTGTTCCCCTTCACATTTGAGCATCGTCTTCCTGTTTCACAATATGTATTATACATTTTGGTCCTTACTTACACTTTTGGTTTCTCACACCAGAAAAACAGTGCTGTATTTGCACATGTGTCTGATTTATTATACTTAAGAGCATGTTCTCAAGGCCCATCCATTTACCTAGAAATGTTTCAAGCTTATCTTTTTTTATGGCATAGTACTCAATTGTATTAAAAATGCACACACATTTTGTTTATCAATTCATCAGTTGATGGGCATTTGGGATTTGGCTGTTACAAACTGTGCCACTATAAAAATGGGTGTACATATATCATTGTAGTGTGATGCTTTTTTTTCTGAAAGATACCAAGAAGAGGAATAGCCAGATTAAGTGAGATCTCTAATCCTAATTTTTTGTGGAATCTCCTCACTGATTTTGACAGTGCTTGCACTAGACTGTACTGCCACCAGCTGTAGAGGTTTCCTTTTTTTCCCACAGCCCTACCAGCATTTGTTATTGACTGATTTCTTGATGATGGCTGCTCTTTCTAGGGGGAGATGAAATCACAGAGTTGTTTTAACTTACATTTCTCAAATGATTAATAATGTTGAACATTTTTTCATATGTTTGTCTGCCATTTCTATTTCTTCATTTGAAAAGTATTCATTTTGGCTTCCCATTTTTCAATTGGTTCTTTAAATTTTGGGGTCTGATTTTTTTTTTTTTAGTTCTTTATGTATTCTAGATAGTAACTCTTTATCTGAGGAACAACGGGCAAAAAATTTTCCCCATACTTTGTGCCCACTGTGGTTGTCTCTTCACTCTGTTGCTGATTTCTCTTGGTGTGCGAAAGCTCTTTAGTAAGATGAGATCTTAGTTGTTGATTCTTCATCATAGTTCCTGTATGATTGAGGTTTTGTTCATAGTCTTTGCCTACCTATACCAGTGTCTTCAAGAGTTCTGTCATCCAGCAGGTTTAGTGTTTCTGTTTTAATATTGAAATCTTTGATCTATTTTAATTTTAGTGTAACGCATGGTGAGGGATATGGGTCTAATTTTAATCTTTGGCATGTAGAAAGCCAGTTTTTCTAGCACCATTTATTAAAGAGGCTATCTTTCTTCTAGTGAAGATATATGGCACTTTTGTCAAAGATATGGTGACTGACTGTGTTTGGAGTTGTTTTTTCATCTTCTAAACTGTTCCATTGATCCTCAGGTCTGCTTTCTGCAGTTCTGGTTTTTATCAAAGTAGCTTTGGTAGTATTAATTTCAATTCAGGGATTGTAAGGCCCTGTGCTTTGGTTGCCCAGAATTGCCTTTACCATTCTAGATCTCTTCTGGTTCCAAATGTAATTTAGAATTCTTTTCTCTAATTCTATGAGATGTACTGTTGGAATTTTGATCAAGATTGCATTAAATCTGTGACAATTTTGGAATAATGGCCATTTTCACTGTATTGGTTCTTCCTACCCAAGAGCAAGGGATATCTTTCCATTTTCTGTTATCCTCTTTAATCTCCTTTTTCAGAGTGCTATAATTTTCAATGTAGAGATCTTTTACCTTTTTCATTCGATTGATTCCTGATAGCTATTTCATTTTTGGATGCTATTGTGAAAGGTGTTGTTTCCATAATTTCTCTCTCAGTGAATTTGTTTTGTACAGGAAAGCTATTGCTTTTTAGTGGTGACTTTGTATCCAGCTCTACTACTGAATTTGATTCTTACACCAGGAAATCTTTTGGTGAAGTTTTTGGCGTCTTGTATGTAGACTATCATGTCATCTGCAAATTATTTCATGGCTGGGGAAGTAGCTCAGTGGTCGGGCACTTCCCTAGGCAGATGTGTGTAGAGCCCTGGGTTTGATGTAGGGGAAGGAAATTATTAAATTATTTTAAGTAGTTACACCTAGAGATTCTAATGACTAACTGAATAACCTTATGGAATAGGTGAGATGAGTTGCTCTAATTAAGTAAACAATCCAAGAGGAAGAGGCAGTAATCATAAATTTATATGCAACAAATACCAGTGCACCCAACTATATAAAGCAAATATTTATGGACATGAAAAATCAAATAAATGCTAATACCAATTTAAAAGGGTTAGAAAAAATAAAAGGGTTAAGGGGATAAATAAGGAAATAGAAAAAGAGGAAGCAAGGCTGGAAGATCATGCAGCCTTTGGGAAACTGGTGAAGTCAGGAGGGAAACAGGAAGAGAGAGGGAAAAGAATCAGAAATAAGAATAGAGTAAGATGACAACAAAAAACCCTAGATAATGTCCACAGTCACATAAAAACAAGAACAAAACATCAATAAAAAGAAAAAGGAAGAAAAGGAAAAATGTTCACTTTGGGCTGTATCTCTGCTGTCACTGATGGGCAGAGAGGCAGGTAGAACCCAGATCCACATTGACTGATTTTAGAAAGCTAGCAATAGGATTATGGTAGAGTAGTGGGTAATCCCAAGAAGCTTGTGCTGCAGTCCAGGTTGCTTCTGGTTTTTGGCCGTGAGGTTAAGATCTGAGTTGTTCAGCCCACAACATTCTAGGTACCACCTTGCAGCTTGAACTCAGTTCCCTGATCTCCTGCTGGCTTGAACTTGGCTCCTCTTCACCTTTCAGTGGGAGCTTCTAAATAGCAAACCTGCAGCTGCTCTGAGTTCTGAATTCAGTTGGCTCTTTTCCAAAATGGCTACCGGACATTCTCCCTCTCCTGGGGACTTCTAGACCAAGTTAATCAGCCACTACAGTCTGCAACATCTGTTACACTGTTCTGCTGGTGTGTTTCTCCGTCGAGGTGTCTGGATTCACTGATAGTTGCTGTGTATCTGTCTGTTCTAGCTGCCCCTCCTATGCTGCAAGCCAAAGCTCAGGAAGAAAACACCTTTCACTACCTTCCTTTCTGCATTGAGGCCCCTCTCTTTGCTCTCCTCATGGGCTCCAATTCTTGCTTCAGATCTTTGCTAGGTCTCAGGGACCCACTTGCATCCTTCTTTTTGTCATGTTGCTATATTCCAGCGTCTGGACTCCCAAGTCTTGGGAAGGCTAGTTTTCTGCTGCTCACCACTCAGCTATCTTCCCAGAATATGCACATTGTTGAAACAGCCAGTACCACTAACCATATGCAGAACTTTTATCTTCTTCAATATACACATTCATAAAATAACAACTTCTACCACCTCCCAGCCATTGTGCTACTTTCTACTTCTATGAAATCACCCTGCCTTGATAGCTCAAATAAATGGCATCTTACAATTTTTGTGTGTATCTTATTTCACTTTGTATAATGTTTTCAAATTCATCCATGTTACAGTGCCAGTCTTAGCCACTTTTCTTATTGCTGAGACCAAATACCTGACACCCACATTAGAAGGGGGAAAGTTTATTTGGCCCACTGTTTATAGTGGTTCCATAATTGGCTGGCTCCAAAGCACAGTAACACACGACAGAACGGCAACAGTTCATGGTGGCAGAAGATAGCAAAAGCAACAAAAGAGAGGGCAAGACAAGCCTCTTTGTGTTCCTTATATTGTATCTAATCTATGGAGATCGAGGTGTCCCAGTCCAATCAGTGGACTGATCCAGGAATTACCCACCTTTTATCCTAGCACCCTTAATCCCAGCATTGCTCTGCCAACCAATCACATATTGTAGATTCAGCCA